TGTTTTGGAGTTCATACATGTTTTGGAGTTCGTACGTGTTTTGGAGTTTGTACGTGCTTTGTCTCTAGGGGCCACCGTAAATATACTTTTATTTATTCACTCCACATAAAATGTGATAAATAAATCATATATCCTGTGCTGCTGCGAGTGTAACTACCGCCCCTCCCCCTTCTTCCCAGCGCAAAGCACAAGGCTTGCATGCGGAGTGAAGCGGAAAAAAGTGAGAGAGAGAGGGTGAGAGAAAGAAAAAAAACCCACAGCTCCCAATAAGGAGCCGACTCGCGTTGTTCACTTCAAAGATCCAGCTCTAAGAGCCGTTTCTCTCGTGACCGACATGTCTAGCTCATAAGCTGTGCTTAGTGACCAAAAGTATAAGACTGAAGATACATGAAGCAGAAACAAGCTTCCTCTGCAGAGGATCTGGGCTCAGCCTTACAACAGGGCAGGAGCCTGGAGTAGAGCCACTACCACTACACTACTTAAAACGGCTTCTAGTATGTGTCAACACAATTCTCGTTCATCCTCGGGCTAGGAGTCATTGCTTGAATAATTCATGGGTCAGAGTTCAGAGGGTCAATAACCAAAACCATCCAGTGAAAATGGTCAGGTACAAGGACTGTACTGAACATGAGTGAAAAGCAGCCAATGTCCAAAGAGGAACAAAACAAATACATAAGCGATGGCTCAAGACTTTTGCACAGCACTGCTTGACGGGGCTTAAGAACCGGTGCAGGTTATTTTTGTTTGATGGCATCAGTGCACAGAGGATTTTATTTTACGTGCTATAAATGCAGTCGGACATCAGCTGTACCTGTATCTGTTCCAGCTGCAGATGGTGATTCAGGAGGAGAAACTTGATCTCATCATGAATCCCGTCTTCCTCAAACTGATCCACGTCAAATGGAATCTCTACGGCAGGTAAAGTCTCTCTGACTGACGGTTATGTCAGGTGATAGGACACTTTTCTACCTGCATGTCTGTCTGTCCTGCTGACAGGTTTGGGGCATGGCTTCTCCTTCTCCTTAACTTCCTGTTTAATGTTTCCTGGACGACTGTCGCTATCTCAGTGTCTGTCCACCGAGACTCACCTGATCGTTATGTCCTCCCCGAGGTAACCTGTCTGTCACACCTAACCTATCTATCTATGTGTCACCTGTGTGTCTCTCACATGTGTTACTCTAACATTTATGTTACACCTGTCTGTCTCAGGACTGGTGGCGTGTCCTCTTTGTGGTCTTGGCGCTCCTGTTGACCCTACAGGAAGTGCTAAGGGATGTGCGGGACATCCTGCGCTCAAGGAAAAAGCTCCACCTCTGGCAGCAGTTGGCGAAGCATCGTCTCCAGAGTGACCTGAGCTGCTCACATCCCATGTGGCCACAGGTAGGAATCAGGATGATGTGGTGGACAGGAACAGGAAGTATCAGATGTTTCAGGTGTATGTTGTGTTTGCAGGAGAGAGAGTTTCTACTAAACCAGTTCAAACTGGTTGACAGGAAGAGAGGAAGCTACTGCCGGGACCTGTGGTACTGACACACACACACACACACAGAACAAAAACCAAATGTAATCATGTGTGAAACAATCACTTTATTACATTTTAGCTTCACTATGTCACAGTGTGAATGCATGGTCAGAGCAATCAGAAAGAGTATCTGCATCACGACGGACATCAGGTGTGCAGATCAATATCACAGCAAGAAATCAGGACATTGAAACCCCCACCATCAAAAGTATAACGCAGAGAAATCAAGTTCAGCTCTAGTATCTAGTATCAGTCCACATTAATCCACTGAAGGAGGCAGAGAAAAAGCTCAGAAGAGGTTAAAATATGTTTGGTGTGATCTTTGAATGATCATTTGCATGGATCAATGAAAAAGGTAGAAATTCTTCATCAGCTGAGCAGGGGGTAGATAAGAGAAAAGAGTGAAAACGTCAAAAGAGCATCTGGCTTTTTTTTTGTGATTGTGGAGAATGAGAAGCTGAGTGCAGCATTTTTTAAATTAGCAGCTGGATAAAGAGAAAATTGCTTCCTTGAAAGAGAATAAATGTGCAGTTCAGTATTGAATATTACAAAAAAATAAACTATACACAAAGTGTGTTTGAATGGCAGCGATGCAGAAATGTGTGCATGTAGCACAGAGCCATGGCTTGGTGTCTGAATGCGTCTCACAGGCCTGATTGTGCGCTTCTAGCCATTCATAATTATAATTATAATTTATAATTCTTAATTTGTTTAATCTGCTGCTCTCCGTAAATAAGCACAAGCAGGAATGTTGGACTTTTAACTGTGTTTCAATAAGTTTTACAGCTTTTCCTACTGATAAAAACCTCCCTTATGGCCATTCATACAACACAAAGTCATGAAGCCATAAACCATTAAATGACAGAATAGTTTCTGTTTTTCACTTTGCAATAATCATAAAGAGCACAAGTCTGTGTAGTTAAAAAAAATCTGAACAGTGTGTGCAATGAGCTAGCAGAACTTTTTCTGTAATTTCACTCATTTATTTCTTATAGTTTAAAGAGTCATGCTGACAGATTTCCTTCTTTATCACAGCAATTTTTCTTCATCCATCCACTTCTTCTTCTTCATTCACTTATTCGGGGCATGGGTAGCGGGGGCAGCCTAAGCAGAGAAGCCCAGATTCAAGATTCAAGTCAAGATTCAAGAGCTTTATTGTCAATACAACAGTATACACAGTATACTGTTTCACCCCAAGCCCCCCATGGTGCATTTATAAGTATATAGAAGATATATCTCCAAGAGATATAAAACTGGGATTTACAAATAAATAACGTGCTAAATTTAGGTAAAATTAAGGTAAGGTAATTAAGGTACTAATTACTAACTATACAATACTAGCTGTATGATAAAGAAAGACGGGACAGAGACAATACAAAGTGGATTGTGCAGCGGTATTGAATACCAGGTTCAAGTTATTGTCAGGATTTTACAGACGAGACATGACAAAGACACGTGCAAAATGTGCAAATGTAGTATAATTTAGATGTGTGACTGAGTGTGCAAACAGGCATATTATTCCCAGGTGGATTGTGTGAGTTTGAGTCTTTTGATGAGTATTGTAAGGTATTTATAAGGGTGTTTGTGTTTATCAGTCCTTTTGTGGTAGTGAGATGAGGGCTTTGCCTGCTTGGGGGAAGAAGCTCTTGCAGTGTCTGGTTGTTAAGTTTTGATACAGCGAAACCGTCTGCCAGATGGAAGGAGGGAGAACAGTGCATGTGAGGGGTGGAAAGTGTCCTTCACTGTGCTGTTCACACGTCGGATAATGTGTTTGTGGTTGAGTTGGGAGATGGGTGGGAGAGGGCCTCCAATGATCCTCTCTGCTGTCCTCACTATCCACTGCAGAGACGTCTTTTCAGCGAGGGTGCAGTTCCTGTACCAGATAGTGATGTAGCAGCAGAGGACGCTCTCAATGGTTCCCCGGTAAAATGCTGTGAGAATGGGAGGAGGGTAGGGATGGGCATTGATACGATTTTCAC